TATGAGGGTATAACCTTGAAGCAAATCTCTATAAATTTTGCATTTCTAGTATATCTATTTTCTTGCTGTGATTTTATTTTTCTTGGCGATATATAATTAGGTTTTATAATTCTCAACAAAAATTAGGATAAACTTTTAGGAATAGTTGGTGCCACTAGATAGAGTTTTCCAATCATCGACTTCGCTGACCTAGTTCAATCAGGGGCGGACCCAGACTTTTAGAGTTTTGCGGTCAAAAATTGAAATATAATCTAAAAAAAAAAACATAATATTAATGAAAATAAATTAATATGTATTTTGATACTTTACAAATGTCGTATAATTATATCATTATCAATATTATTAAATAAATTTTGCTACTTAAATAGTTTTGTTTACCAATTCATTGACAAAAGTTGAGCCAATAGTGAGTAAATCAAAATGAATGTAGAACGTAAATGAATTGAAATACAATCCAAGTTTAATTCAAGAAGTAAATGTAATTTAAATTTAAAGCAAATATAATTCGAAAGTAACTCAAATTATATTGAATCCGATATGATCCTAAAATTTTTGACATTATATTCCATATAAAATTTTTGAATAAAATGATATAAATTATATTGAAAAATTTATCATGCAAATGCTAATGAAATAATTGATTTTTTAAAAAAGAAAAGACGAGTTAGACATCCTTTTTTGAGATGTACGTTTGTGCATATTTAACTATTTTTTACGTCCTTTTGGCCTATTCAATATAGCAACGATATAGTTTTCGAAACGAGCTTCTACATGACATAGATGATTTGTGGATTTAAATAGCATACGATCATCAACGATTTTTAAAATTTAGCATATTATCGAAATTCTTGAAATACTAATTTCAAATGGCCTACTTTGACGTGTTGTAAATTTTGCTATGGTTGATCATTTCGAACACTTTTCATGGGCGAAAAATTAGGCCACAAACACTTCGAAATGGTACTAAGAATTCAATATTTTGACTTTATTTGACATCCCGTAATGAGTATATAAAAGTAAGTCGTAAAGGTTCAAAACAACTATTTTTTGGAAAAAAAAAAAAAATCGAAGGCAAAAAATTTGGGGGGTCATTTGACCACACATGACTCCATGTGGATCCGCCCATGAGTTCAATCACTTATCATTTTGTCCTTTACTTCAATTTGTGTGTTACGAGATTTATTCAATCACATAGTTTGGGCTTGTAGAATATGATGCCCTTGGAGCTTTCTATTTGATTGTATCTAAAGGCCAGATGAATTAGGATTTTCCTGTTGGTCCAGATCATTTCTAGGCAAGCGGATCATTTATGATGAAGAATATGAGCTTAAAAACCACTTCTATTAGGTTTTCTCATGGTGGATGGAGCATCCCCACTTAGTGATCGATCCACTAATTGATGAAAACCTGAAGAAATTATAAAGGACAAGCCACATGTAAGGAAACTTGCATGTGTGGTTTTGGCTGGACTATCCTGAGGTATTCAATAATCTTGCTTCAGCTTGTCGTTGTTGTACCTCTCTTAACTATTGCCCATTTATTTTGGAATAATATTTTTAGGAAGAGCAAGTTTACACATGTATGCTAAATCCTTCTATTATTAAGTACGCCTGGTATGGTTTTGATGTGTTTGATTCTTCTAAACAATAGAGGTTTTGATGCTTTTGAATTCATTGTATTAATTCCACTACACCAAAAATAGGCTTTTGCAGCGGTCAAAAAACGGCAATGTTCCTTGACCATTGCAAAAGGCTCTAAAGAACATTGCCTTTTGTTTTTTGCAACGTTCATTGCGTGTTATTGTTGATTTTTAGCAACGTTCATCGCATGTTGCCATTGATCTTTTAGCAACATTCGTTGCACGTTGCCGTTGATCTTTAACAACATTCCTTGCACGTTGCTATTGATCTTTAGCAACATCCGTTGCGCATTGCCGTTGATCTTTAGCAACATTCCTTGCACGTTGCCGTTGATCTTTAGCAACATTCGTCGCACATTGCCATTGATCATTTAGCAACATTCGATGCACGTTGCCGTTTTCTATCTATTTTTTTAAAAAAAAAAAATACTCATACACTGTTATATTTTTATATATTATTTTACCTATATAAAAATCATTTCACATTAATTGTTAAATTTATTTATGCAATAAAAAAGAATAATAAATTTGTCATCACAAATCCTCTCTTACACACTTAAAAAAATGAAAGTACTTGTATCAAAGAAAACAAGTTAGCCTATAAATGCAAAAACTAGAAGATAAACCTAAATTACGACAGTTGGAATTACAGTAATTCAAAAAATGAAATAACTACGATATTTGTGTTTCTGTTGCATGTTTGACTACAAAGCAGTCCAAACTAGGTGTTATCTACATCAACTAAAACCTTCAACTTGTACCTACGTCAACGGCCGTGACTTCCTGCAAAGTGCATATCCTCTTTTATAGCTCGTTCCCACCTCTCTTCGCTTGCGAATGTAAGCTATACCATCACATATTTTTGATGAGTTGAACCCTGTGGAGATATCAAACACCATAAGCTAAGTAGATGGCTAGAGACAAACACCATATCCTTAACATCACTAATTTTGCTGAAGAGAGAGTGAGGTTAATTTCTGCTAATCCATAAAATACGAGTCTGACCACCATATGCGTCAAATGACCATCTCTCTTTAATTCAACTGATTCATCGGAAAACTCCTAGACAAATTGGATGAAAAATCCTAGACATTTTATCAAAGAAACATTAATTGTACCTCGCATTTTGTTGACAACAAGAGTTTCCAGCACTTGGCTTGAAATTTTTTCAGCAATAATGAGTAGAGGAACACTCAATTGGGTGGTCTTTTCCAGCAAAGGCACAATATCTTTCACAGTTGATATCTTTTGAGCAGTCACAAGAACTCTAACATTTTCAAACTCCACTAGAGATTTATGCTTGTTCATAATGAAATGAGGCGACATGTACCCTTTGTCAATCTGTAAGGAAAGAACGCCTGAAGAGGAATCAAGGAAATAATATAACATGAGGGAAAAAAAACATATTTATATGTAAAAAAGAAGGATAGGAATATTAAATATTGCATTGCTAAAAAATGAATAGTTCCATTAAAAATAACAAACTCGAATTTGTACTCAAATAATAAAAAGTGGGAATATCTACACATTTATAACTTTATAACTAACTCAACGATCAACAAATATTCACGATGGAAATAAAATGGATAAATAGATCAACGAAAAAAAAATAAATCCAATTCTTTCGACAAAAGCCACAAATTTATGCCTTAACAAGTTCAAAAGATTGACAGGTATCAAAACATGCCATACACAGTAGTTTGAATTACATAAACTGTAGCAATAAAAAAGGATTGGTCATATATCCACTCTTCAATGTGGACCCAGTTGATCCAAAATAGTAGCTACAATATCATTTATATAGTTTTTCCCAAGGATAAGAAAGAGCATGATTTAGAAAACACCTTCTTACATATATAAAAGCATCTTACCGTCACACACTCCCCCCCCCCCCCCCCCCCCC